AGGTAAATATTAAGGTGGGTATACTTGTTAGACTGCATGATGGGGTCTCTTTAGCAAGGGCTTGCTTCTAATAGACTTGATGCATTTATGAATTGATGGATAGCTAAGTCTGTACAATCACCAGTATTCATGCGTGAAGTGTGATTCCAGTAAACTACTTTTGGAGAGCAGTGTATATTGGGTTGTCAGAAAAGTCATGACACATTTTTGTAACGAAAAACAGAAAAAATATGTCATGACTTCTTTGACAACCCAATAGATAACAGGACCACAATGGTATGAGTTTCAAATTTTACTTCAGAATACTTCTTTTTAATTTTATATTTAATATTATTAAACATCTGTAACATGGTACCACAAATTAGCATAAATGATTTCTTCACTCTTTGGATGTTTGTTCTCAGGAAGACAATAGTGCTGTGATAGAGAGATGGTTTCAGGTAGAAACTTCCTGGACATAAAGCATCCACATCAGCACAGACCAAAATCATTTCAGAAATTTTCATAGTTTGTTACTTGTTAACTTTTCAAAAGTACATACAAAGAGCTAATTTTAAATCCAGCATTTATTATTGATTCATTTGTTATGTGCAGAAATAGGACTTTTAGCAATTCTGAGATGTTTAGAAATATGCAGTGCTAAACAGATGCAGTGCCTACACTTTGGTCTTTGAGTTTAACCCGCACAGCTGGGTCTTGTTATCGGTGCCAATGGAATTTCTCGCACTATCTATTTTATGACACTTCCACACCTACTTTTACCTTATAAGGTAAAGACTCAAATTCTAAATGTGTGTTATACATAGGCCTATATTTAGCAGCACAATAATGATTTTTGGAAGCCAAACAGGAACAGAAATTCAAACAGCATCTCCAGATGCTGTTTTTGAAAAGCAGCATCTAAATAGTTGCTGCCCAATGTCATGGTAATGTTGTTGATTAAGATAATTCCAGCCTGTTTTCCTAAAGCCATTCTATAAAGCCAGACTTCTATTTTTAATACAACATCGAAAACACTTATGTACATAATTGGAAATGAAACTTTAAGTATTGTAAGGACATTCATGAAGTGGTTCAGTTTTATTAGAGTTTATATTTAAATTCATGTCCCCCGCAGTCTGACTTTCCTCACATTGTTGAGGAATTTCTCAAATTTCATATAATAAGTCACATTAAAAAAAATAAAACTTCTAATTAACCTGCTTATAATTGATACTCTTCAAGAAGCTTCCTTATGCATACATATTTCTTCTTCTCTGGCAACTGCATTGACCATGCAGGCTTGGATCCCCTAAGAGGCCATTTTTTGTGCCACATGAGCCAGGCTTGGTGGCCATAGCTGATTGGTGGGAGATACAAGGCCTAAGCTATCCTATCAATGTCTTTCTTATAGTTTTGTTGTTTCTTTTACAGTAGAGCAGGGAAAAAAATTTTCGTAGAAGATCTTGGTGGCCTCTATAAAATCGCAGGGGTCAGTGCACAATTAAGATGATGCAATCAACTAGCCAAGAGTGGTGAGAAAGAGCTCTTTCGACTTTGAGTCCCTTTGTCCAGCTTTTTTGAGGCTCAACTATAGCCCTATCTTTCCTTCTGTTCAAAAAAAATATCTAAAAATCTCCTCTTTTTAGAAATTATTTTAGTATAGCATCTTTCAGTAAGTAGTATAGTAATCAAAATAGTTATGAAAAATCATGAGTAAGAACTGCACTAGCTACCTATCTAAAATAAAACCACTTACCCACTCTTATTCTGAAAAATTATGCACCTTTCTATTTGATTGTTTGTCTATCTCACTCCACTAGAATATAAACCTACAAGAGCACGTACTTTTTCTTTCTTAATTATCACCATATTTATTGTGCAGGCTTTCAGTTAATATTGTAAATGAATAAATTACCTAAATTTAAAGATGGTAGTCATCAGCATATCTCTTTTCTGGGGGAAGAGAGGAGGTATTTATCTCTGTGAAACATTAGGCGATTAAAAGAAAATGAGTGTGTGTGTGTGTGTGTGTGTGTGTGTGTGTGTGTGTATGGATTGATAAATAAGAGGATTGGCAATAGAAATCAGTTTTTAAATTAATTGTGGATGACTCCTATAACCTGGCTAACCTACATCCCTTACGTCTTTGCTAATATAAAATTTTTAGGGGAAAGATTTCCCTAAGCCCCCAATTAGATTAGGTCTTCTAAGTGCTTTTTTATCAGAGGAATAATTATTATATTGTATTGAATTTGCTTATTTGCTTGTCTGCCTCTATGCACTCTATAATTCCCTCTACTCCTGATACCACTGCCACCACCATCACCACCATCACCACCATTATCATCAGCATCACCTTCACCATCTTGACCACCATCACTTCCAAAGATTGTAGGTTCTTTGAGATCAGGGGCTATGTGCATGCATACAGACCTGATAGTCTTTGGACAAATATGCTTAGGTGTGTGTCAGAGTTTGAGGTAAAATATAGGTTAATGTCTCAAAAACTTAAATGAAAAATCTCCTTATGAGGTTCTAGTCTTTTTTCTTTTGGAAAAGAAATTACTTGAATTTGCTAATTTTCTATTTCAAATGTATGTAGATGCTATTGTGATTAATATAATACAAATTTATTGAAGTAAACTGCAATGGAGAAAAATTAGAAGCAACCTTCATGTAACCATTAAAACTTGGTTAAAACATAATTTTATTACATCCATAATATGGAATACTAGTCACTGGTTATTGAGTAAAGTAGATCTATATGGAAAGATGTTCACAATGGATTGTTATGTGGAAGAGCATGCTTCAGAACAAAATGTATAGCTCCAGAATATTTCTATGAATTATATACACACAGAAGCATGCACACACACATGTATATGTAAAAACATAAAGAAAAATCTAAAATCATATATACCAAATCATTTATAATACTTACGTTGGGGTTGCAAAGTGTGTAGAAAGCTTATGAAGGACTCTCATTTTTTAGCTGTAGAAGTAAGAATTGTTTAGAATATATTTTAATTAGTATGCAGTTAGTTACTGTGGCAGCCCCTCCTCCCACCATGATTTCTGTCTCCTGGTTTTAAATCTGTTTGCAGGCCTTTTCTACATTGTACCAGCGCTGACCTATGTTACCAATAGAATATGACAGAAATCATAGTATGTGATTCCCAAGATTAGATTATAAAAGACTCTACATCTTCCCTCTCCTCCCCTCCCCTCCTTTCCACTCCCCTCACTTGTCCTCTCCTCTCCTCTTCTTCCTCTTCTCCACACACTCTGCTCTCTCTCTCCCTCTTGTCACTTGGTCTGAGAAAAGCCAGCTGCCATGTTACGAGCATCCCTATGGAGATGCTACGATGGAATTCCTATAGAGAAACTGAGGCCTCTGACCAACAGCCAACAAGGACCTGAGGCCTATTAACAGCCATGAGCATGAGCTTGGCAGTAGATTCTGCAGATTTGGTCAAGCTTCAGATGATTAAATCTCTAGTCAACAGCTTGACTGCAGTCTGGCGAGACTCTCTGAACAAGAACTACCCAGCTACATCAGTCCTGGGCTCTTGACCTCAGAGATTATGCACTATAATAAATGTTTGATATTATAGGCTACTAAACTTTGGAGTAATTTATTATGTAGAAATATATAACTAATATAGTTAGTATTAAGTGAATGTCTAAATTAAGTTTTATTTCAAAAAATATATAAATGAATACAAAGAATGAGAAAACAGTTTTAAAAACAACAACAACAACATTGAATTCATGGCAGCTTCACATAGTTATGTGTGGTCTCAATCCATGGATATGAGAAGCAAAACTACTGTCACATGAAGGGAGTGTGTATAATAGGAAATATATTAACATCATAAGTATTAATATTATACTTGAAAGGGTTAGAAACATTGTCATACACTGATGTTTACAAAATCGAAGTGATTCTGATTTAGATTCAAAGAAAAGCAACTGCTTTCTGTAAAGTGCTTTTTACATAGCCATATATAAATATTTATAACAACATATATACTCATATGCCCATCTATATGTGTGTGTATACACACATACACACACATATATTTGACATGCTAATAGAAATTATGTTGTTTAAAGTTAAATATAAACTAAAGTCTGAGTTACAGTAAAAAATGAAAAAAACATTACATATTAATGTTTGTTTTCTAATTAGGAAGGTATATGGTCTCATTGAGAAAAATCCACCTATTTACAGCTATGTGCTTACTAGATACATAGAAAACCAAGGCAATTTGGGCAAGCTTCTTCAACTAGATCACCTTAACTAGCCTATGATCTGATGGGGGAGAGGAAAAGAGACATTTGCCAAACAATAGCAATATATATTATTTACACACACACACACACACACACACACACACACACACACAAAGACTTTACAATGATTTAGGGAAACTTCTATCATGAGAACATAGCTTTGCTCTTTAGGCATGAATACTCAAGTCATTTTGTTATTTGGGAGAGGGTTTCCATGATATCTTTACCTTTTGCTTTGATGCTGGATGGCCCTAATTGGGGATGGGGGTAACAGGCAGTGTAGCAGAGATGGTATGTGAATGATAGCTTGCTTACTGTTATTAAAATACAGCTCATCAACAAGACAAATAATAACAAGTGTTAGAGAGGCTGTGGAAAAAAAGGAACCCTCATACACTGTTGGTGGGAATGCAAACTGGTGCAGCTGCTATGGAAGGCAGTGGGAAGTTCCTCAAAAACCTAAGAATAGAATTACCATATGACCCAGCAATCCCTCTCCTAGGTATCTACCCAACAATTCAGAAAGAATTTATTGGTAATGATATATGTGCTCTGACATTCATTGCAGCTTTATTTACAATGGTCAAGACATGGAAACAACCAAAGTGTCCTTCAATAGGTGATTGGATAAAGAAGATGTGGTACATATATACTATGGAATACTATTCTGCCATAAGAAAAGATGAAATAATACCATTTGTGACAAAATGAATGAATCTTGAGATTATTATGCTAAGCGAAGTAAGCCACACAGAAAAAGTCGAGAACTATATGATTTCACTGATATGTGGTATATAAAACTAAAAACAACAAAGGAACAAGACAAACAAATGAAGAAACAAAAACTCATAGACATAGACAATAGTTTAATGGTTACCAGAGGATAAGGGGGGAGGAGGTGGTAGATGAGGATAAATGGGGTCAAATATATGGTGATGAAAGGAGAACTGACTCTTGGTGGTGAACACACAATGTGATATATAGATGATGTATAATAGAATTGTACACTTGAAACCTATGTAATTTTGCTAACTATTGTCACCCCAATAACTTTTAATTAAAAAAAAAATACATCTCAGATCTGAGAGACGAATGATTTGCTACACTTTTCTAATTTTTCCTCCATATAATAATTCTTTTCCTTGATGCTTAAATTCTTAATAAAATTCTTGTTGAATTGAATACAATTAATGCTTTCATTTCATTCATTCATTCCCTTATCAAGAAACTTTTGAGTATCTGTCAGGCCCATAGGTATTTATGCAGTTGTTCCTAATTGGCTATTATTTCTTCAGCTGTTTCCTTTCACATCTTTCACTCTGTCCCTACCCTAAGTTAGAGTACATGCTGTGCTATTGAGGACAATCATTTCTTATCTGGGAAAACCCAGTTTACAAGTAGATTTTTCCTGGTTCTAAATACTTTACACAATCACATTGTAAGAGGAACCTTAAAATAAAACTAAACACAAGAGGATAGATACTATATTGTGGAATAGGTAACTGAAAAAAACAAATGCACGGCCAGTTATGAAGATCTCCAATTATCACAGCTATGAATAAACATGCACAGATATGAGTTTTTTGTTTGTCTGTTTGTTATTACTATCACTCTACTTTCTGGACTTGGCAATAGTTCACTAGCCAATGGACGGATGCAGTTATCTTAGACCCTTTCTCCCCATCTCCTTGTTTTAATCATGTATTCAGTAAACATGTTTACTATCCACAAGCACAGTAGGAATAAAATGATGAAGCATAGCCCAGGCTCCTCAGGACCCCACACTAGAGTTTTATTAATTGGCCCTCAGTTGTGTCCTCGGATCTCTGTTGACATTTTATGTTGGACTGCTTCCCTCTTGGTTAGGGTCTTACAGGCTCCCAGAACCATTAGGTTTCGTCATTTCATGGGTCTGACAAGGATTCTGTTATTTCTTACTGTTGGCTACAGGATTTTGGTACATGTCAAGTTAGATGATGCTTTCTTCCAGTACTGAATTCTGTGTATTCTTTGATCACTCATTAAAATTGCTGATAAAGAAAAAGTCAGTCCATCTCCAAGGTAATCAATTTACATGAAGCCAGTTATTTTCACATTTGGGAACATCTTTGCTATGTTCTATATTTTTAAATATTCCTTGGAATTTTTAGATTTTGAAAGTTCTATCTCTTTCTTTTTCACCTGTGGTGGAAAACCATGCCCAATCACAAATTTGGTGCCTTTGAGTGGGGCCCGCCTTGAAGAGTGGGCAGCCATGCTTAAGGTGTGATGAGGGGACGGAGATCAGAGCTACCACAACATTTTAGGTTACAAACGATATTGAAAAGGTTCTGGCCTGCAAAGGAGGTGTTGAGAATTACACTGTCAGGGAACTCATGAAAATTCCTACAAAAGTTTGTATTACATACTTTTCAGATGGGAATTTTCTTTATCATCTTAGAATTTTATTTTGTGTTCTCAACACACCCACTACTTAGGTTCTTGTGACCCACAATACAAGGTTTGTCATTTTCTTTTTTCAGATATGAAGTATGACAGTAAATTGTCCTCAGCTTATAAAAATTGAAAATAAAATTATTTTAATATCTGAATAGAGAAAGCACAAATGGCATAGAACATCATCTTCTAAAACAAATATTTAAAGAAACAAGCATCTGAGAAATATTTTGAAGCTGGACACTAATCCCTAGCTTATTAATAAGACTTAACCATGAATCTAATTCTTGACTGTCAATCAGCATGTTTGTTTATTAACTCACCCTGACATGTCTTCGAGCTGAATGTGTGCCGTGATTGTGATTTAGCTCCCAAGTCTTTAGAGCAATGTAGCATCAAAGTCCCTTTAGACTACTTCCCTTAGCTAATATAAGCAGTTGATTTTCCTTCTTGCACTGAGTTATTTAAATGGATGATATTTGTTTGCACCTCCAGGTATCTGACCTTTGGGAAATCTGTACTGCTTTCTCAGTATCTTCTTTGTCCTTTCTTCTATGAGCTAAAGGGAAAAAAAAATGAGAGGACGTGATAACACGGGATTTCTCTATTCTGAAAATACAAATAATTTTTATACATCTGTTTCCTGAAAGACTGAATTTTATTTCTTATATACAAAGATAAGAGAAATAATAATCAGAACCCAATTGTATAACAACAGACATAACTATTTTGGTGAATTAGATCATCTGAAAATGTGAAGAGAGAGTCAATTAAGAAAAGGGAATAGACCCCGGGTGGAGACAGATATCCTGAAGTTTAGAAACTGTCTCTCTCAGAAAAAGAAGGCTGAAGAGAGGACACACGTGAGGGGGTGAAACCAAGATTCAGGGGACCACAGATACTCAAAGTCCCTGGAATGAAGTGGACATCAGACAGTCTTACCTCTTTCTCAATCTTTGCAGTGTCTCTCCTTGCATCTAATTTATCAGAACATACCTACACAGGCGACATGTGGAAAAGATATGACAAACATCAATCTCTGTTGCTTATTTAAGCAGGTTTATTATTTCAATAGTTTCCATTTATTGAGTGAAATCTCAATGATGTATCATTGACTTAATGTCTTTATGTGTCTTACTTTACGAGAGTCTTGCTTTAAAAAACACTGTAAGTAGGTATTTCCCCAGCATTGAAGATGATGCCGAAGCTCAGAGAAGATAAGCCTGTGCCTATGGCCATTGTGCAAGTAAATGAAAGATC